TGAACTGGTGATTATAATAGAATCAGGGACATAGAAAGGGAATGGACTGACTATTCTTGGGAAGGAAAGGGGTGTGGGGGATGCGGGAAGAGACTGGACAAAAATCGTGCACCTATGGATGAGGACAGTGAGTGGGGAGTGAGGGCGGAGGGTGGGGTGGGAACTGGGAGGAGGGGAGTTATGGGGGGAAAAAAGAGGAACAAATGTAATAATCTGAACAATAAAGATTTAATTTAAAAAAAAATTGTGCCTTCCCTCACTCTCCAAGACTCCTCATAATCACCCCCCAGGACATCCTTTGGGCAAATCACAGGGTCAGTGGTCCGGGGCAAGTCCCAACCCCTTATGCATCCTGCACCCTCCTCTTCCAAGCTCTCCCCTTGGTCACTTCTAAGGGAGGGTTTCAGGTTCTGGGGAAACAGGAGGCGGGGATGGAGGAGGAAGCTCTCTCTCTCTTGACTTGGAGGCCTTGAGCTGGGAGCACAGAGCCCCCTCTCCTCTGACCCTGGAGTGTCCCTCCCAGGCAAGCTCCCTCACCTTCTTCTGCAGCCTCTTCTTGAATCCTCGGATATTCAGTATCTGAGTTGAAAGCCAAAGGACTGTTTCCCCTTGAGTGGAGGACAGGGTCATTGAGATCATGCTCATCTCACCCCATTTACCCCATCACACCTGACCCCATACCCTGGACATCTGACCCAAGTCAGCTGGTACCAGTGCCACCCCGACTCCAGCATGCTCTGATTCTGGATGGCTCCCAGCTACAGCGCTTACTCACTTGGGCCTAGGCCTGGCTCCCTGACCCGTTCTCACCTTGGAAAGTGGGAGACCTCCGCCGAGCTCACAGGTTCTCATGAGGACTCGGTGTCATTCCTGTCATCATTGTTCTCACCCTCAGCCCTCCAGGGGGGACAGGGCAGGGAGCTCTGCACAGTCCTTTCCTGCCCTGAACTTGTGACCATTATGTGAAGCCTGCAGCAGGGGATGGTCTCCCCTGCATGTCAGGAGATGGAGGACAACAGAGGGACAGTTATGTTCTTAGACTGTTCCAGCCCTGCTGGCTGCGGTCACCCACAGACCCCTAGGTCCCTCTCTCATCTGTGATGATTTCCGTATCTGCATCACTGGCACCCCCTTCCCTCTATCTTAGTCATAATTCTTAGTTCAGTACCACGTAATGACCTTCCAACACTACAGATTCTAAGCTCTCAGACCTCTTGTCCTCCATGCAGTGCGGGAGCAGCATGATGGAAATATAAGAGCCAAGCAGGGTGCTGGGGGCTTGGGTGGTGCTTATAAGAGAGGCAACTCAAATGCCCTAACTCTCAAGGGAAGCACAAGCAATTGTAGTTTCCTGGGCAAAACAGATGATGCCTAGGAGAGACCCATTCAGTGTGTGGGACCACGAACTGGGCAGACAGGTGGATGGCTCCGTTGCAGGTCAGGCACACAGTGTGCACTGCCCTTGTATAACTCAGGGCCAGGTAAACAGGGATACCTGCTGCCTACAGTTTGTTACAGGAAGAGGACACACTGGAGCCACAGCAGTAAAGTAAGAATAGGCCCCACAATGAAAGGTTAATTCACGGTAAAGGGTCCAGAGAGGCCAGGGGCTGCGTGCTTTGTCCTCCCTTCTGTGAGGAATGAGGCTGGATACACTTTCTCCCTCAGATCAGGAGCCACCAAGAGCACTTTGGAACCAGAGCCCAAACTAGGGGCTCAGCTGGGATGTTTACATTTTGCTGGTCATCTATGCATATTCCCAAAGCAGCCTCAACTATCACCTCGATCCCACAAACCTTCATATCATCCTACACAACATCACCTCTTCACCATTTCTCTCTTTCTCCACTTTACCTTTTGTTCAGAGCACCCAGCACATCCTGACTTCACGGTATGCATGTGCTGGCTGGTTTGACTCTTTCATGCAAACATGCCATCATGACAAGCTCTTCGGGTTGAGCACGTGCTCCTAGTGCCTGATCCATAGGAGGCGCTCAATACATACCTGATAAAGGAGCCAGGGAATGAATTCCTCTTAGCCCAGTCTACAAATCTGATGAGATCACAATCAAAATTCCAAGGGAATTTGATCATATGAGTCAAAATGAGTACATACAAACATTTAAAATGTGTATTTTTTGAAAAAAAATTTTATTTGCCGGATTTGATTCAAAATGAATAAATGTTCAGAGGTATCTATACAACAATGATCATCAAAGACTGATTTATAAAGTTGAAAACAAAATCATTTTAAGTCCATTAACTACAGCCAAATTATACAATTTAAGACAAAGCACGAGAAAAGATACTAGAAGATATTATTTTTCAGAAATAACTTTAATATTATTAAAACTTACAAAACATAAACATAACAAAAATTACTTAGAACTATGGGTAAAGGTATATTTACATGTATTATTAGGGTATGTGCAAAGATAAATATAAATATTTGTATACTTATTTCTTAATCTAAAAAATAGAGATTATGATGAGAATAATTTCCACATCTGCAGTGTATCATGCATTGACCTCCTTGGGTGAGTATTCCCCTGGCCACCTAGGACTGTGGCTCCAGCTGGCAGGACCAGATGTAACTGCAGGAGAGAGTGGCACCTGTGAGCTCCCAACCTCAGGTGTCCCTCCCAGTGTCAGGAGCCCCAGGAATTGCTACACAGCAAGGACTGGGGGGAGGCGAATCAGGGAACCATGGACACAGGTTCTCTGGACCGACCAGCAGAAAGAGTCTATCCCGGCCCTTGCCCAACTCCAGCCCGGCCTCACCTCTCATTTTCACTGAGCCGTTTCAGGGCCCAGAACCAGGCCTGGAATTGCTCCTCAGGCTCTATTTGGTATTTCTGTGCAGCCTCCTGTAGCAGCACTATCTCCTCCAAAACTCTCTGCACCTGAGGCCAGAGGGAAGGAGAGGATGCAGACATGGCCCAAATGGGGGTGAAGAGTGGAGCAAGGGCTCCGTCCTGGGTCTTTGCACACAGGGGCACCCTCCTTCCCCCAACCCCACCCAGGCCCTACCTGTGCTCAGAGATGGGCATCAACAGCCCTCCTTTCAGGAGGTTATCCTTGATTTCATGCCCCTACCCCCAACCACCAACTGGAGGGGTCTCCCACTTCTGTTATCAAATCCTCCCAATAAATGGAAGATGCAGGGGATGGAGCCCCGGAGTGTGCTGGCCAGGGCGACTATGATTCTTACTACGTCCCCTGTCCAGCAGGCTGTGCCACAGCTGCTAACCTTTTCCTTTTTTGCTAATTGATCTGATTCTTCTAAAAGGCAGATATCCAAGGTCCATGAGAAAGATCCCCCTGGCTAGGACTGGACCCCTATGCCCACCCTTCTCATGGTGCACGACCACCAGGTCCCAGGAGGGAATGGGAAGCAGGAAAAGGTAGGACTGGGATCAAGGCCAGGCTCTGGGCTCCAAAGGAGCGGGGACAAGGATGACTATGATGGGCCTATTGCTCCAGCTCCAAGGGAAGGCAGTGCTGAGAACTCACAGATCAGGATGGGGGCTCTCTGTCCCCTAGGTCAATCCTGGTCACCCCAGTCAGGCCCCAGGTCACCCACCTCCTGATCATCCTCCATTCTGCTGTCCATCAACATCAGTTCTTTAAGGTATTCTCCCAGGAAGGGAACACACTGGACAAACAGAGTGAGGGTCGGATGAGCCCCTGCTCTCAGGTGCCCCACGGGCTCTCTCCTGAAAGCCTCCCACCCTCAGCCTCCTGGCCACCCCAGGGTTTCCACGTGGAGCGGCCCAGGTCCCTTAGGCCCTCCACTCAATTGTCCCTTCCCTCACTCTCCAGGAACTCCTCTTGATCAGCTCCCAGGACCACGTCTGGGCAAATCACTGGGTCAGTGGTCCTGGGCCAGACCCACCCCCATGTCCAGCCTGCAGGTACCTCCCCCAGGCCCTCCTCTTGGTCATTTCTAAGGGAGGGTTTCAGGTTCTGTGAGCACAGGAGGTAGGGCTGGAGGAGGAAGGCCTCCCTGTCTTGAATTGGAAGCCTCCAGCTGAGAGTACAGAACCCCCTCCTATGATCCTAAGCACCCCCAGACAGGATCACTCACCTTCTTGGGCAGCCTGAGCTTGGATCCAGGGACATGGAACATCAGAGTGGCATACCTGGAAGGCTGCTTCCGCCAGGGTGGAGGACAGGGTCACTGAGGTCATGCTCACCTCACCCCATTTCCCCACCAGCCCTGACCTCACACCCTGGCCCTCTGACCCAAGTCAGCTGGTACCAGTGCCACCCGGACTGCAGCATGCTCTGCTTCTGGACGACTCCCAGCTACAACGCTCACTCGGTGTGTGTGACCTTAGGCCTGGGCCTGGCCTCCTTGACCCGTTCCCTCCTTTGGAAAGTGGGAGACCTCCACCGAGCTCACAGGTTCTCCTGAGGACTCAGTGTCATTCCGGTCATCAATGTTCTCACCCTCAGCCCTCCCGGTGGCACAGGCCAGGGAGCTCTGCACTGTCGTGTTCTGTCCTGAACTCATGACCACCCTGTGAGGCCTGTAGCATGGGTGGTCATCCCTCCATGTCAATCACGAGGAGACTGATTGGCAGGGAGTGCTCTAGGGGCGCAGTGGGAAGTCTCAGAGAGCACACCCCTCTGTCTCTGGTCCAGACAGCAGGTCGCGAGGCCAAGCAGCCTTTTGTTCCTCTTTCCCGTGGGAATCCCCTGCGGGGCCCATCCTGGGCAGGAAGGGCGCTCCCCTTGCAGGTGTGGAGAAGACAGAAGTGGGAGCAGGGCCTGGCATCCTGAGGACAGGCTGGGCAGGTTTGGGGAAGAACCCTCCCTACTCTCCCATTCACCCTACAGCCTGGAAGAAACGAAGTGCAATTGGGAGAGACCAGCATGGAAGACAGAAGCCCGCTCAATGTGACAGTTCTGCACCCCGTCCTGGAACAGCCTTTCCACCACCATAACCGGGGCCTCCTGCCCTTGAAAGTGTCCCCTGAACCACAACTGACCAAGGACCAAACACATTCCTCTTCCGGGTAATAGGGACCGAGATAGTGAACATTTTCAGAGAATCTTCAAGTGACAAACTACCACAGCCACATCCTGTGCAGTCCACCCTTCCCTCGTGCCCTCCTCTCTGGAGACCTCCAGTGAGTTGTCTTTCCTGCAGAGTTTATTCATTGTAAGTGCCCGCTTCCTGAGTGGAGGGAAAGAGGAAAGACATGTTTAGGAAAGATGGGGGAGATGGGTTAAGGGCAAATTCTTGTTGAAAGTGTCATGTTTCAAACTGCCTCAGGGTTCCTCTGAGCAGGAAGGTCTCCCTGGGACTGGGGCAGGGCTCTCATATTGGTCACGTTGGACCCCTCTCCATATCTATGGAGCAGCTCTGTTTTGAACAGTTTGGGTTTGAACTGGGCATACAGTTCAGGTGCTGAAAACACTTGAAAATCTCCCATTTGGCTCAGTGCCGTCTCTGACAATGGAGGAAACTGACTCCTGAAGCAGAGCTAGTGGACTGAGGTCCCAGGGAGCCTTAGTCACCCCGCCCACCAGCCCAGTTCCTGTCCCCATGGTTGGCTGCCTCCCAGGAGGTGAGGGGACACTGGGAGACATTTGGGTGACAACACCTCCCCATGCCTCCTCTGATGGGAGAGGCCTACGCACCTGGAAACTTTCCCCCATGTTTTCTTCAATCGATGGACAGCCACGCTCTGCAGAGCAGCGAGGATGGCGTGCAGGGAGGAGAAGTTTCTTAGGATTCTGCACTCCTGGGGAAGGGGACACATGGGCTGTGAGGTAGGAGCTGCAGCTGGTGCTTCAATCCCCCTCGAATGAAACCCTCCCCTGGTGGGACAGATGCTCAGGGTGGGCACGTTTAGCAGCCAAAGACAAACTCTCAGAGCGAGGAGGATCCCAGCTCAAGCCAAGGAAGGAGCCAGGTAGGAAGTGAGCCTCCCAACACCAACACCTGGGCTACAAGGTCCGCGTGCCCCTGGTAGAGAGGACATGGAGGCTGTGCTGGGGCTCAGACCTCTGGCCTCAGTCCTGAGAGCTGACCAAGCAGCAGAGGCATTTTTCAAGGCTCCGCATAGGGATGCTGGGCCTCCCCCAACAGGCCTTGGCCACCTTCATCCAGTGCTCCACCACTTTGGCCCTGTCCTGGGCCATCATGCTTGGGTCCCCAAGGCAGGTGGTGATCACACAGGTGGCCACACGATTGAACTGTCTGACGGTAGCACTGACAGTGGAGGCCACGTGCTCCTTGCCAGGCTTCCTCCTCTGGGACCAGACAGAGCCCAGGCACTGGTGGGGCAGCACCTTCTTGAATAGCTCCTGGGGAGAACGGGGAATGTCATCAGCCCTGCCACACCGCATCTCAGGGTCCCCAGTCCCCTGAAGGGTTCACTAGACAAGACTGAAGCTCAGGAAGCTGAGGATGTGCCTGAGCCTTGGAGTCCATGGGATTCACTCTCTGTCCACCGAGGGCACCCAGCACTGGATGACCAAGGACCCAAGACTGGTGGGGAAGGGACAGGAGCATCTGCCTCCAGCCCATCCTCACTTACTCCAAGCTCCAGGAAGTGGCTCAATTCTGCTCACCCTAAGGGGGCATCTTCCAGCATCTGACACCCCTCTGGTCCAAATCCCCATTCAGTGCACATTCCCCTGTGGCAGCTACAACCACAGCTGTTTGTCTCCCTTATGGTTAAACACACATCAGGGGCCTAATAAGTGCTGAGGCCGCTGAGCCTCATAGGCACATGGATGGACAACCCATGGATCTGGCTGCACGCAGTGAGTTCCCCTCCCACAAACCAGGCCAGGCCCCACCCAGCATTCTGTCTAGTCTCCCTCATTCAATCTGCACAGCCACTCTGTGCAGCAGCGCCTGGGGTGCCCACCTCCACTGTCCACAGGTGGACAGCAAAGGCTGGGGGTTGAGAAATTTGCCCAGGACCCATGGGTGGTAAAGTGGTGGAGCTGAGATTTGCATCAAGATCATAGGAGTTGGGATCAGGGAAGGCAGGTCGGAGCGGCCAAGGGCAGAGGGAAGGCCTGTCCCACCCACCCTGAGAGCCCCAGACTCACCGCATCCATTGCTGTCAGTTGCTCGGCCACCAGTCTTGGAGGGAAGGTCAGGATGTTAACCTTCTCCTCCCTTATAAGGTGCTTAGGGGTCCCAGCCCTGGGGTAGTCAGTTGTTGGGGGTGGAGCTGGCTCTGTTGTTGGGATTCGGATCAGAGTTGGTGGTCCAGATGGCTCCAGCACCACCACAGCTGGACCAGGCTTTAGCCCAGGAGCAGGCCCTTCCTCCGGCTCTGGAGTGCGCTTGAGCTCTGGAGGTGGTTCTGGAGCAGGTTAAAGAGGCGGGTTCTCACACATGCCTCACTCTCCCGTGCATTTCCATAGACAGGAAAGATGCAACTGCCTTTTAGGGAATTCTGGCCCCTGAAACACCCCTGCCCCCTGCCCCACTCCCCTAATCATCTTCCCCGACTGCAGTCCCCTCACCTTCCCACTGTGCCTCAGTGGGCTCTAGATGCGCCAGCTCCACCCAAAGACTTCTGACGAGGCCCACCGGGTGTGGGGCAGGGCGACTGTGCAGCACCAAGGCCTGCTTCAGGCTGAACCAGGGAGAAAGGAGGGGCTGGCCCAAATATTGTGCCTGGTCCGGCCAGGTATCCATCACAGAAGCGGTGGCCCTGGGGAGAGGCAGGTGGGCAGCAGAGTCTGAGTCCTGGTCTTCCACTCTGCCCTACCATGGCACCCTTGTTTGGGACTGAGCCTCTGTGCAGGCCCCTCCCCTTCCAGCGCACAGCCCCATGCCAACCCCGGCCCCTGTGTGGCTGTCCCGGTGGTAGCAGGTGTGGGATCCATCAGGTTCAACACGGAGTCTGTGTGAGATTCTTCTTCCCACTGGCAGCTCTCCTGAAGGTCCCGTGCACTGGCCACCCCCACCCTCCAGGCCCTGGGCATCTGGGCTGAGGACTGAGACAGACTTGTGAGCAGCCTGCTCACCAGAATCCTGTTCTGCACCTGGCCACGGTGGTCAGGGGAGATGGATGTGGAGAGGGGCAGGCAGAGCGGGGTGGGTCTGTGGCGGGGAGGGGACTCTGAGGGACAACTCAGCCCAGCGTCCCCTCTGGGTCTACAAGGCCCGGGACCCCACCCACTGTCCTCTTTGACTCATGTCTCCTTGCAGGGGAGCCACCAGAGCTCAGCCCTCCCTTGGGAATCAGAAGATGTGTAAGATCAGGGTTCTGCCAGGCCCTGCCCAACCTAAGCCCCCACTCTGCTAACACAGGAGACCCACCTTCTGCACCCACAGACCACTCAGTTTGCTAATTGCTCCTGCGGTGTGTCTCCCCGGTCATTATGAGGAGGTGTCCCTCCAGCAAACACCTTGATGGCATCAGCTCTGATGGACAGGAACTGTGAATGATGGACAGTGTGACGACTGTCTGACTCACTGACTAGAACTGAGGCCAGAGATCGTGTCTGCTTCGTTCCTTGAGTCAGGCTAAGTGTCTCCAAAAGTGCCTGCCTGTAGTAGGAGCTGAATGCACATTGTCAAGTGCATCTGAGTGGGCCTGGGGCCCTGCTCTCCCCTGCCATCCCCCATGTGGCTCCACCAAGGACCAGGACAAGGTCAGCGAGGTGACATCTCTCACTGCTTGACAGGTTGTTCCCCATGTGCTTTTCCACACTCAGATGCCACAGGCCGCTGATGGGAGAGTCAGGGGACTTTCCATGGGACCGAGAGACATAACTGACAGGAACAACCATAGATGGTCCAGCAGCCCTTTCTGCAGAGTTGGCAGCAGATAGGCCCTGCCATGGCTTGTCCCCATAGCCGTACGTAACAGAACACTATGAGGTGGATCATGTACCACCCACTTTTCAGAGGAGCATTCTGAGCCTCAGACCGATGTGATGACATTGTGAAGACACACAGCTAGGAGCGGGCAGACTCCCCACTCTACTGAAGAGGGGACCCGTGCTCACCTAGTTAACAGCTCGTCCAGGAACCTTTGGGCTCTGGAGAAGGCCGGGTGGGTGGGCATCAGGGTGCAGATGTGGGGGATATTGCCAGTCAGGAAAGCTGGTACCAGGGATGCTGCCACCTTCTTCAATGTGCCTTTCTGCAGGGCTCGCATCCTGTGGGCCTCACACAGTGTCAGAGTGAACTCAGCTGCACACTGAGGGGGCAAGGAGGGACATCCAGTCAGCGGCATCACCGTGATTCCCAGGCGGATGGAGGTCTGGAGCTCACACAGGAGTCCCAGCCCCTCAGGGACGTGGCAAGAGGAGGGACAGGAGTGTCCAGGCTGAATGAGGTTCTAGGTTTTCAAAGTTCCACTTTAGTTCAGCAGGTGGGGGATGTTCATACAATTGTTACCTTCAGGGCATGTTTTTTGTTTGTGTGTTTTAGCTGAGAAACAACAAACTTGCATGTATTAATGGTTTCTATGATGAGCATTGTCCCCGTGAGTCCTCAAGAAACATCCCCATTATAGAGATGAGAACACAGAGGCTTAGGGATGTCACATGCCTTCTCAAGGTCCTGCACGTCAGAACTGTGAACTGTCCTGCATGACATTCTCTCACAGCTACCTGAAACTTATCTGCTCCCGAAATGGATGGAAAGGGTGTGGGAACCTTGCCCATCCCTGTGTGGGGACAGTGTACATGGCAGACATGGCCTATGAAAACCATGCCTTCAAAAAAGACACTCTCATTTCATCCCTTTACATTAAAGGGCATTTTAAGACCCTCAGTGTTGTGATCCCAGATTCTGCAAAGAGGCAAATGCCTGCAGACTCCAGACTGGAGAAATGTGATCAACAGGCAGGAATATTAGCAGAGGACTCGAGAGGGAGCAAATCCATGTGGTGAGTGTAAAGTCACAGGTGACTCAGTGTCCCTGTGAGGCAATTGCCAATGAAGGAACACTGTGGTTGCCTTGAACAGCCTGACATCAGACAGGTGAAAATTTCAATGAGTGAGAAAACCCTGGGCCAGGCTGGGAGCAAGGCAGCAGCCATCATCAGAAACTGCTGTTGGCAACGTCCCTGCCACAGTCCTTTGGATTTGGAATCTGCTTGCAGCCGTTACATTTTACATGTGCTCGTCCTTCCCCCAGCAGTGGGCGTCCATCTCCAGAGGGGGTGGTACATGTTGTGATCTGAATTGTGTCCCCCCAATTCCATGACTTTGGGACCCCTAGAACTTCATTATGTGTCTGCATTTGAGTTTTAGTCTTCAAGCAAGTCATTCAGGTGACGTGAATTCAGTGGTGTGGGTCTTCATCTAATCTGACCAGTGTCCTTAGAAGAGGAGGGGAGGACACGTGGCAGTGCAGAGGGGAGTCCATGTGACACACAGAGAGAAGACAGCCATCTACAAGCTGAGGAGCGACCCCCTCAGGAGATACCAGCCCCGCTGACAGCACCATCTCGCACTTGTAGCCTCCGGAATTGTGAGAAAATGAATGTCTGCTGTTACCACCACCCAGTGTGGTCCTATGTTATGGCAGCCCAAGCAAGCAACCTAACGCAGTCCATTCCGGCACACATCAGTGTTCCGGGCAGCACTGCTGACATGGCAGCTGAACTGAATTAGGCCCACGTCCGACAGCACTGGAAGGCTGCTTCACTGGCCAAAGGATCTCCGTTATTGGGCCAGGCCTACAAGGATAGTAGAGCTGAGTGCTCCACAGGATACTGGCAAGGGTAGTTTAAATAATAAAAACAGCGATAGGCAAAAGTGCTCTTGCTCTACCATGAAGTGAAACAATATTATTTCACTCTAATATTTCCACAGATATATGAGGAGCGTCTTTCTACTCTCTCATGTAACTGGCGGGAAGAGTGGAGGCCCGGATCCCTCTGTCATGGGGCTGAGTCACCCTTAGGGGCCATGGGAGGGCCTCTTAGGGTCCCCAGATTTGAGTCTGGGTTCTGGGCACTGCCAGGTTGTCTCGAGTTTGTGGGTGTAGAGACCCTCAAGGCCAGTTCTCACCTGAGTCCGGCCCTGGATGGTGTCTGTGGCCTGATGCACCTTCCCCGGGTCGAGGGAGGTCAAGTAGTTGAACCCATTGACCAGCCCTTCAGTGATGTCCCGGTTGGAGCTCTACAAAGACAGAGCCCGCTACCGGGCCAGAAGGCTTCAGGAACCTTCCACCCCAATCTGGGGCTCTACCCCATGGCAGGCATGGCAAACTAAGACAGTCTCTTAGGACACAGTGAGGATGTTCCGGCAGCCCTGCTGAACTAGCAGCAGAGGTGCAGCATGTCACGGTCAACAGCCCTGAGGAAGACTGCATCCTTTATGGGATGATATGGAGGTGAGTAGCCACAGCTACTGGTCCACGGGCCTACGGTGGTTTGCCCTGCTCTGCGAGATGACAAATTGCAGAGAAAAGTATCCAGTACTTTGCCTCCTCCCATCTTTTTGACAAGCCACCCAGTCAAGTGTGGAGGCTTAGAGAAGGTCTGCAAGGACAGTGGAGCTGACTGCTCCACAGGTTACCTGGGGCGAGTAGTTACAACATCAAAATAGCAAAATCCAAATGTGCTCCTGGCCTACTGTGAGATAAAACAACTTATTATAGTCTTTAAAATTCCCACAAATATGTGAGGAGTGTCTTTCCATTCTCTCGTGTAGCTGGTGGGGGGAGTAGAGGTTTAGATTGCTTTGTTATGTGACTATGGACACCCTAGTGGGAAAGCCCTGGGAGGGCCCTGGGGGAGTTTGCAGATTGAAGTCTGGATTCTCAGCCCTCCTTGGTCATGTTGAGGTCCTGGGTGTGGAAACCACCCGGGGCCAGCTCTCACCTCAGACAGATACTGGATGGTGTCGTCAGCCTGCTTCACCTGCACCCTGACCTGGTAGGTAGTGTAGCTGGGCCCATAGGCCACCACCTCCATAATGTCCTCCTTAGAGGTCTGCAAAGACAGAGAGGGTATTGAGCCAGCAGGTGTCAGGAACCTTCCACCACATCTGTGTTCCTGTGTAATGGCAGACCTAGCACACTCATACAGTCTATTAGGACACAGTGAGGTTGTCCAGCAGCCCTGCTGAAGTAGCAAGAACTGATTCACATCAAGGTCTAACAAGAGTGAAAGCCTGAATCACTGAGGAAAACAATGTCCTCAATGGGATGATATGGAGATGGGTAGGGCCACAGCTCCTGACCAGGCCGCATTTCAATGGTTGGCCGTGTTCTATGGGATATGAGGTTTTAGAGAAATATATCCAATACTTTAATCCCTTCCCATTTTTTTTTTTTAATACACAGCACTATTACGTGGGATGATGTGTAAGGTTTGAAGAAAGTCTACAAGGACAGTTGAGCTGGGATTGGTCCACAGGATACTTGGGGCAGGGAGTTCAACATTTGAAATGGTGTGGTCCTCTTTGGATTCCTTTTGTTTGGGGTTCTCAACTTGTAAGTCTATTTCTTTCACCAGGTAAGGGAAGTTTTCTGTCATTATTTCTTCAAATACGTTTTCAGTATCTTGTTCTCTCTCTTCTTCTGGCACCCCTATAATTCAGATGTTGGTGCGCTTGAAGTTGTCCCAGAGACTCCTTACACTATCTTCATATTTTTGGATTCTTTTTGCTTTTCTGGCTGGGTATTTTTTGCTTCTTCGTATTTCAAATCTTTGACTTGATTCTTGCGATCCTCTTGTCTGCTGTTGGATCTCTGTATATTATTCTTTATTTCAGTCAGTGTATGCTTAATTTCTAGTTGGTCTTTTTTTATATCCTCCAGGGTCTCACTAAATTTATTGGCGGTTTCTAGAAAATTCTTGAAAAACCTTATAAACGTGGTTTTGAACTCTATATCCAGTCATTTGCTTTCCTCCATTTCTGTCATTTGTGACCTGTTTCTTTGTCTCCGCATTTTTTATGCTCCCCTGTGTTGGTAGAGTGGCTTGTGTGCTAGGTGTCCTATAGGGCCCAGTGGCTCAGCCTCTCCAATTACCTGAGGTGGACACTCTTGGTGCACCCCTTTGTGGGCTTTGTGCACAGTCTTGTAGTTAAGCCTTGATTGCTATAGTTATCACTGGGAGGAATTGACCTCCAGGCCAATTGGCTGTGAGAATCAGCTGTGTCTACGGTGGGAGAACTTCTTTGCTGAAGATACCCTTATGGGGCAAGACTTGCTTCAGTGGGGCTTTGGTACTGAGTCTGCCCCCTCAGTGTGTCCCTTATGGATCTGAGGAGTTGTAATCTGGATGGTCCCACTCTGACCACTGGGTACACTGGCTCTTGTATCTAAGGAGGTGCTAATTTAGCCTCTGCCTGAGGCTACCCAGCAGGAGCTATGAAGAGATCTGCAGATTCCCCTTCCTTGTTTGGGGTTTGGAGGTGCCCAAATGAGGTCCAGCTGTGAAGCAATGCAAGCTGCTGTGGGGCCTTGGGCCTTCTCTTGGAAGTTCTGGGTCTGTCTGGCCCAGCTGCAGTTTGTTAGGTAATTTTCAGATTGCAAAGGACCATGGCATTCATATGCAAAAGCCTCTGCACACCGCTTGGGTGGGGCGGGGTCTCAGGGAAACAACAGGCAGAGCAAGCAGCTATGACTGATCCTCAGCCCTGCCCTAAGGGGACACTGATTACCTCAGTGTCCCGGTAATCACTGCAAGCACCTTTGAGAGAAAGCCACCCTCGAGTTCCGAGTTCTGCCCACTGCCAGACAGTCCAGTTTCTCTCTGTATGAGTTTGGGTCCCCAGAGACTCACCCGGAACTGGAGTTCAGAGCAGTCGGGGGCTTGTGACTCCCTCCCGATTCAAAAAGACAGCCGCATCCTCAGTTGCCAGCCCTTGCTGCGTGTGCCTCTGTACCTCTGCACTTCCGCACCTCCTCTGAGTCTCAGTGTGCTTTTCTCTTCCCTTCTAGTTGTAGAATTTCCACTCAGCCAGCCTTCCTGTGGTTCTGGATGATGTCCGTTTTGTCTTTTGGTTGTATTTTTGAATTTGTTGTGGGAGGCAGCAATTTCCCATGTTTACCTATGCCGCCATCTTGGTTTCTCTTATATTCACTTTTAAAGAAAAGACAACTCCAATAGTTGCTGGAAGACAAAGTTAATACCAGTATGAGACTAGGCCACCCTTACACAGTAAGATGAAAAGAAATGTAAATGAGTAAGTTGGAATATAAACCAAATGAAATAACTTGTTTTTTGCTTTGTTCCCTTATAGGTACTGTAGATGCTTTGTAGTTGGTAAGGGCTACATTCCAGGCAGAGTGGGTTTGTTGTAAAGATGGGTCCCAATCCCAAATGCCTGGCGAGTGTTGCTCAGTGGTTGACTGTTGACCTATAAACCAGGAGGTCATGGTTTGATTCCCAGTCAGGGCACATGCCCAGGTTAGAGGCTCATCCCCAGTACGGGTGTGCAGGAGCAGCCGATCAATGATTCTCTCTCATTATTGATGTTTCTATCTCTCTCCCTCTCCCTCCCTCTCTGAAATAAAAAAATACACATTTAAAAAAAATCATACAGAAGTCTTTAAGCAGGTAAGGCAGTTAGCAATTGTATGGCTTATGT